ACACACACACACACACACACACACACACACACACAAACACAATCAATCAATCAATCAATCAATCAAATCCAATCAATCAATCAATCAAACCTTTTTTTTTTTCTTTTAAAATTTTGCATCTGCATTTTTTTTAAACACCTCATTTCCCTGCAAAAAACAAAAATCCAATTCTAAAAAAATACAGGTGTACTCAGGGACCATATATCTCATGATAAAAAATGGCAAAAAAAAATTCATGTTTTTCTTTATAAATATATTTTTTAATTTTTGTTTAAATCGATTTTAGTTTTTGATTTTTAAAAATCTTAAACAAAGTCGGATTAAAAAAAATATATAGGATTGTAGGTTTTTTCAAGCCTTACACCCTCGTATATATATATATATATATATATATTTACGTATTCTTAGGAGGGGGGGGGAATATTGAAAAAACAGGCCGCGGACTAGGCCTCATCGGCCGCAGCGACCGAAATGCCCGCGGCCTAGGCCGCGGGTGTCACATAGCCTGTCCCTATATGGGCAGGTTTTGGTTATAAATGGGGCTTTGTTTGTCGTACTGTGGTTTGAGAACTTTTGTGTTGCCCTAAAGAGGAGGGGGGCATGGATTTAATTGATCCACAATGAAAGAGTGTAGTAATGCTAATACGATGGATAGTCAGAACGATAAGCGCAGAGGAGGACTCCGAGGTACACTGGGTTGCACTGGCAAAAACCATTTTGTCCCTGGGATGGAATTTGTCCATACCATATGATGTGTGGACTTGTTCACTCATCCCTTCCAGACATGTGAAATCAGACTTCTGGGCAGCAGTCATTTCTGCTTGGAAAAAGTTGATGCACAATGTAGGGCTTCACCCTACTACTAAAACAGAAGTTTTACTACAACCACTGTTTGAAAACCCGCACATCGTCGTCCTGATGGCAGGTTCAAATGGGGCTTTGTTTGTTGTACTGTGGTTTGTAGCAGCAGTCCGCCTGTTGGGAAAAAGTTTGTGCTCCTTAATCCAACAGCGGCATGCAAAATTTATATGAAAGCGCTTTGCTAGAGAAGAAGAAGGCTTCCTCTTTAAAGTTTCTTGGGAACTTCTGTGTTGCCCCAAAAAGGAGGGGGGCATGGACTTAATTGATCCACAACGAAAGAGTGTAGCAATGCTAATGCGATGGATAGTCAGGGCGATAAGCGCAGAGGAGGAGGTACACTAGGTTGCACTGGCAGAAACCCTTTTGTCCCTGGAATGGAATTTGTCTAGACCATCTGATGTCAGTGATGTGTGGACCTATTCACTTATCCCTTCTTTTTTTAACAGACATGTGAAATCAGACTTCTGGGCAACATTCATTTCTGCTTGGAAAAAGTTGATGCCTAATGCATGACTTCACCCTACTACTAAAACAAAAGTTTTACTACAACCACTGTTTGAAAACCCGCATACCCGCCGTCCTGATGGCAGGTGGTTTGCTGCAGATCTCTCTGAGCTCGAGGGAGTTTCAACAAAAAATGGATAGAAAGAAGTGTCATGAGAGTAGGTGATTTGTGGAATAAATGGGAAAATCAATGGATGTCCCCCGAGGTCTTGAGGGAGGTGTTGGGCTCGGTTTGGTTTGTTGAGGAAAGGTTAAGCGATCTCATAGATGCAATTCCAAAACAATGGAAATGTATTATCTGTCTAGAAGGGGTAGATTCCCCTGACACTTGGTATATCAGTCGACCATTGGAAACCACCCCGACCTTCTGGAAGCTTGTGAATATTGATGTACAGGGTAAAAGGACCTTTCAGTGTTGGGGAAGCAACAACCTCGATTCATCTTCTCTAGTACAACAAGTTGGCCCTACTCACCCACCGTTAACTGGCGACCTAGCTCAAGTTCGAGTTTGGAAAGACTGCGATGAAGAAGAAAACTGGACGTGTAAACTGTTTGCAAAAGGACTGACAATTGATGACCTTAAATTGGACCTAAAAATGCAGGTCTGGAGAGGGGGGGGGAGAGACTGGTAGCAGGACAAATCACTGGTATGTTACTCTGTTGAACAAGGGTATTTGGCACTAGCTTCTACCCGAACACCCAGATCTGTTGCAGTAGCCAGATGGATGCAAGTGTTAGATGTCAATCCTAAGTAGATTGAAAAGAAATTGATCCGTTATTGAATCCAACTGAAAGTTGCCCCATATCCCAGATTGGCAGCTAACCTTTGGTTGTTATCCCTTTTGGCCACTCCATCATCGATAAACTTGCTCCAAAGAGGAATGAAGGTGGACCTGGCATGCAAACGATGTAACTGGGCTTCTGAATCGACTGTACATCTGTGGTATGATTGTCCTGCATCAAAGAGAATTTGGGACTGGTATAATTCCTTCTAGGTCAGCAGGTTAGAGGGAAATTTGGTATGGAACAAAATCTGGGTACTCCGGGGGGGTATTCCAGAACACATGGATCTTAAGAAGGGTTGGGGCTACATGGCCCAAGCAGCCAAAGCGGTGGGTTGTAACGTCATTTGGAAGAAGAGGAACCTACGGATTCTTTAGGACAGAGAAATGACAAATAAGGAAATCATGCCTTTGTTCAAATCCTCACTAAGGAAAGACCAAGGATATCTCAAGGCGGATCGGAGAAGGAAAGGTCAAGGATCTTGGTTTGGGGCAACCTGGGGGTTGGATGTGGGAATCTGGTGAGGTTGGAGGAGGGAAACTGATCTTCGACAAGTGGTTTTGGGAGTGAGCTAGGGAATATGAACCTGGTACTCAGTTTTGTTGATCCACAGTAGGACGGCAGTAGGGTATTGGAGAGGAGGGAGTACGCATTGGTTCCGTGGCTCTGTGGTCCTCTAATGTCCACCCGTCGATTTAGACGGTTGTTTTGAAGTAGGTAGATAGGTAGGGTTTGATAGTCTTCTTTTGCCTTTCAGTTTTTAATTTATGGTTTGTTAGTTTTTTTTTGGCCTGTGGCCTATTTTTGTTGTGGAGAGTGAGGTTTCAGGACAACGGCCTAGACTACGTGACCCCCTAGGTCGCGGATCCTGCGGAGTAGTCAGCGGTCTAGGAGGTCGACCGTGGGCCCGCGACCGAGTTTCTTCGCGGCCGCGCCACGCTCAAGCGAGGGCGCGCGCGGGAAATCGACACTCGACATCGGTCTGCGCACGTCCTCCTTTATGGGACGGCGCAAAAAAAAATAAAATAATAATAATAAAAAATTGGGGGGGGGGGGTTTACTGAGTACAAAAATTAATTTAGAAAAAATAAAATAAAAAATTATTGATTGATTGATTGATTGATTGATTGATTGATTGATTGATTGATTGATTAATTGATTGATTGATTGATTGATTGATTGATTGATTGATTGATTGATTGGTTGATTGATTGGTTGATTGAGTGATTGATTGAGTGAGTGATTG